GCGGTATGAATGGAAATGCCTTTCTTCCTCCCAAAGATAGCTAATAGCTAATAACGGTTTTCCCTACATAAGATCATCCACGGCCGTTGGTCTGGTCTCTTTCTCCCATGTGGTTATCAGTTTGAATCCTCTAAACGTGATGGATGTTTTGAATTCACTGCATTTCAAGGTATGTTCATTTTGCTAGCCGTAATCTTTGTTTTGCATCCCTTTTTTATTATACGAAAGTGAATAAAATAAAAGGGGTAAAACCCATGATCCCAGGATATACTGTAAGTGGGAAGGTGTGGGCAACATTCAGGCTAGAGCCAGCTTGTTGATTATGCGTTTAAAAATATGGATGTTTTATGTTGGAGGGAAAACCGAAAGGGGGAGAGTGTTCCACAGTTTTGCTGCTGCTAGCCGTAATCTTTCTTTTGCATCCCTTGATCTCTCTGAAGCCTTTGATTCAGTTTCCCAGGATACTATTCTTCGATCTGCCGCCGCGCTCGGCACCCCTCCCCCTTCCAACAATTCCTCCGATCGTCCTACTCAACTGCCTCCAGTATTCTTCCCCACAGGTCCCTTGTTTCCCGAAACGCGGTGTCCGACAGGGCGACCCACTGTCTCCCTTGCTATACATTGTGTGCTTTGATGAAGTACTCCAACTTTCAAACCCCTCCATTGCGTTTTCCTCCCCGGCCGGCCCTATTGATGCTATGGCCTACGCGGACGACCTTATTGTTTTCGCTGACTCTTCCGCTGCACTCCAGCGGAAGTTAACTGCTTGCCAAGATGCCTGGTCTGCTGCCGGTTTCTCCCTAAATGTTGATAAGTCTTTTTGTGCCTCCCTCGTGTCTTCTTCTAAGTTGAAGATCACCGCTCTTGACCTTGCTCCTCTTTGTCTTCATGACTGTGCCTTTCCATCTATTGACCCTGCCTCGACCTTTAAATATCTTGTCATTCCTTTCAATTTTAAAGTTAAAGCCGGCAATAACTTTTTTAAAACTGCTTCTATTTATCTGGATAATCTAGTTTCTGCCCGTCTCCGCCCATTTCAACGTCTCTTCTTTCTCCGTAACTTCTTTTTTCCCTAGGCTCCAGCATACTCTTTGCCTAGGATTCCCGTGATGGAAATACCCTTGTTAACATTGACCGCGCGGTGCGTCGATGCATCCGCTTCTTTCTTCGTCTACCCAAGGACAGTCCCACCCCCTATTACCAAGCCAGCGTTTGTTTTCGCGGTCTTGGTATTCCCCATCTTGTGTCTCAGATTCCTTTATTACGGCGCAAGAGGTCTGATAGGCTCCTATCCTCTCAGAACACATTGTTGCGTTGGTCGGTTTCTTCCCCGTCTATCCTCCCCTCTCACAGGTTATCCCAGCAACCGGTCTTGGTCAATGGGTCTGAAGTTTTGTCCACCGATGAAGCCGCCACACGCATGGCGGACGCTCTCTACAACACCATCGATGGCAAAGTTTTATCTTGTCACAAATATTCTGGCCCTTCATCGCGCTGACTACAGATGCCCACGAAGATGTTTCCGTGTGATTTCACTGGGAATTGTAAACTCCGATGCAATCTATTACCTACGAAGACGCGTCGACACCGTGGCTCCCGGGCCTACGATGACGCGTACTGCCGGAAACCTGAATCCCTCGTCCACATTCTTCAAGAATGCCCTTCGACCCACGATCATAGATGTCGCAGGCACAATAACGTGGCCTGCCACCTTGCGAAGTTATTCTGTCGCAAAGGGCTAACAAAGCTCACGGAACCCAGATTACCGATTGGATCGACCTACTGTAAACCAGACCTCTTGATCGTCCACGGCTCAACTACTTTCGTGTGTGCCGTTGGCATCTGTGCCCCCCCCCCCACTTCTCACCCGCACATTTCTGCAGAAACAAAACAAATATTACGCACCCGAAATTACCACACAAATACGTACATTACTCAACTCCCATAAATGCCCACCACCATCACCATCATCACACACACACACACACCAATCATTATCATATATAATGGATTTATCCATCAAAAATCTCATTCCGCCCTCAAAAGACTCAAACTCTCAGACACAGATATACAAAACACACTCACCCTTGCCATGCGTGGGTCCCTGAAGACATATTACGCTTATATGAGAGGTGCTTGACTGAAACCGTTACACATATGGACATTGTACTTCAATGATTCCAATGTATATTATTACAATTTATTGCTTCTCGGTATTGAGTTCTTTGTACACTTTACCAAAAACACATGTTTTTAGCAAATGCAACGTCATCTAATTAGTGACGCGCATGAATAGATTAACGGGCGTCCTATTGTCCTTATCTACTACCTAGCGGTTAACGTCCGCTGGAGTGCAGCGGAAGAGTCAGCGAAAACAATAAGGTCGTCCGTGTAGGCCATAGCATCAATAGGGCCGGCCGGGGAGGAAAACGCAATGGAGGGGTTTGAAAGTTGGAGTACTTCATCAAAGCACACAATGTATAGCAAGGGAGACAGTGGGTCGCCCTGTCGGACACCGCGTTTCGGGAAACAAGGGACCTGTGGGGAAGAATACTGGAGGCAGTTGAGTAGGACGATCGGAGGAATTGTTGGAAGGGGGAGGGGTGCCGAGCGCGGCGGCAGATCGAAGAATAGTATCCTGGGAAACTGAATCAAAGGCTTCAGAGAGATCAAGGGATGCAAAACAAAGATTACGGCTAGCAGAATGAACATACCTTAAAATGCAATGGAGAAGAGAGATGGCTTCATAACATCCGTCACGTTTAAGGAATGCAAACTGAAGACTAGATGGGAGAAAGAGACCAGACCAACGACCGTGGATGATCTTATGTAGGGCACGCAAAATAACGGAGGATACGGCAATAGGTCGGCAATCGGAGGGGCCTAGAGGGAAGGACACTTCGGGACAAATGTGATACGAGCAACATTCAGGTGGGGAGGGATGTATCCAAGGGCGAGTAGGATATTAAGATAGGCGGCAAGGGTAGGGATCTGGGATTGAGAAATAGTAAATGGGTCAAGGCGGTCCGGACGCAGAATCTTTCATGTTTTGGAGGGCAGTAAGGAGTTGGTTGGGTGTAATCGGGTCTAGTGAAAGGGACGGGGGAGAGGGGATAACACGGGGAGGACGAGTGTCGGGGTGGGAAGGGGCCGACAGCTTCTCTTTCCAGTAAACAGCATAGTCCGCAGACCAGGCGGCGTCGTCGCGGTAGGATGTACGCCATCTTCCAAAGAAAACTTCCTCGGCGGCGTCTTTTCGCCGATGGGAGAATAGCGTTCGGAAGTGGGCGTATTAGGCGCGGCGTTCGACTCGCTTTGCTGATTGGCGAAGGCGGTGGCTGCTGGTTTCAGGTGGACGTGTGATTCGGTGGGAGCGCGGTCGGCTGGGCTTCCAAAGATGAGGAAACTTCTGTATGGCGTGAGTGTCTAAAAGTTTATGAAGGGTGGGGATATCGGGGTCGGGAGCCAAAGCAGTTTAGGCAATCTCGATTAAGCTTGAGGGGGAAAAATCGTCATTGGGGCAGTCTAGTAAATATTCAACAGCTCTTTCTAGGAGGGGGTGAGATTCAGAAAAGATTATATGGGATTGGGAAAGGGGGTCTGGGAGTGGTTTGCGGTTAGAGTGAGGGTGCGGGTCCAGGGATCGTTCGTTGAGGGGAATTGACTGACTAATAACAGGTGGAGGGGATGGGACAGAGGGGGTAGAGGGGCGGAGAGTAGGAGAAACAGGAGTGTGGGAACGTGGTGAGGGCGGTGCCCAGTTCAGGTGGGATAAACGTTTTTTCATGCTCTCAGCTGAACGCAAGGGTAGAACCTGGTGCAAGCGGTTGTATAGGTCAGCTTTCCGAGATCCTGGGCGGAACAATTGGTTGGCATATGCGATAAGTTCTTGTTCCTCGGAGGGGGACCAGTTCCGCACTGATGGCCGGATCTTGATTAGTTTGCTATCGCTGTATTCGGCAGGGTGTCGGTGACGGTTGTGGTGGGTCAAACCAGTTGTGGTGGTGAAGGAAAGTGAGCAAAAGGGGCATGGGTGTGGTCCATGTGTCTGGGGAAACAGGGTGAGTGGTTGTGTTGGTTGCTAAGGTAAAGACTTTTGCGGTTGGGACGAAGATTCACTTTGGTCGGGAGAGGGGGGGGGGGTAGACGAGAAAACAGCAACTTCTGGGAGGTGCACGCGTTTATGTAGCGTAAGGCCAGCCTTGGATTTGCATATTTTAGCGTATATTGGGCATTGCAGGGTTGATTCCGGTGGAGGCCTGGTCAATTGGGTGGCAGAGGCCGATCGGAAGGTGAGCTTGACATTGACCAGTAGGATGACATAGGCACGGCGGATGAGAGAGTTGCAGTACTTCATGAATGGACATAATGAATCGCAAGGGAGACAGGGGGTCGCCCTGTCGGACACCGCGTTTCGGGGAAACAAGGGATCTGTGGGGAAGAATACTGGAGGCAGTTGAGTAGGACGATCGGAGGAATTGTTGGAAGGGGGAGGGGTGCCGAGCGCGGCGGCAGATCAAAGAATAGTATCCTGGGAAACTGAATCAAAGGCTTTAGAGAGATCAAGGGATGCAAAAGAAAGATTACGGCTAGCAGAATGAACATACCTTAAAATGCAATGGAGAAGAGAGGTGGCTTCATAACATCCGTCACGTTTAAGGAATGCAAACTGAAGACTAGATGGGAGAAAGAGGCCAGAACAACGGCCAATAATGATCTCATGTGTGGTCTTTTGTTTGATCTTATGTTTGCTTAATAAAGCTTGTAATCTTGCTCATGATTGAGACTTTGCCACTATGAAATGCGTGGTGAGAAAAGCGTGTTGCTTTTTGAATGGAAAACGGTTTTCGTGTGACAACTTTAAGTGTGATTACTCTAGGTAAAATAGAGAGTACTGTGTAGGAATATGTGAGAAACGTTGTTTTGAGGCACTTCATCCTAAAAAACTGAATATATTCGCGTGTACCGTCCCTAGTGTAGTAGAGTCTCGTTCTTTCCATTTTGCTTCTCTCAAATTAAGATTACAAGTATCATCTCTGAGGACAATTTGGAGCTGATAACCATCCCCAGTGCTTTGCCTTTGTTTTCCTCACTTGAATCATGTCATTTGAAAAAAATCATCAAATGCGAACAGTCCGGATGTATGCCGAGAAGTGGTCCGAAATGGGGATCACCGGTTATTACGTTGTCTATCAATCCAATCGTGCGAGCTGCCTTGAAGGTTCCGGTCCCAGCTAGATTCGACTCCATGAACAGTTAACTCTACATCCCCAAGCTTCACCAAGTTGCACTCTACAAAGCCTTATAATGAATGTTTCAAACGCTCCTCAACAATCCACCACAGCAATATTTAACCTCTAATAGCTCATAATGAGCGCATAGTTAAGAGAGTCTACTGGTAAATACAAGCTTTTCTAATTTTGCGTCTGAGTTTGTCATTTTTTAATCAATTAGATTGGTCGTAATTTATTATCTTGATTAAAAGGAAGACAGTGAAGTGAAGCTTTTCCCTAACAAAACTATACAATCTCAAAGTGTTTCTCATGAACGTTGGATGTTCTGGATCCAAGCAACAATTATCGAAATTCCGTTTACCACATATTCAAAGTGTAAAGATATCCGTGAATTATTTTGGAAACGTTTTACTCCTATTTTATCGAAACTGCTAAACATTTTCCCATATGTGCACTCTAAGCGACCCTGATCACTCAATTAAGCGAGCATCTTTGACTGTTCACTTCCTCATGTCCACATATGGGTAACTATCTGAATCGATTAATTTCGCTCCATTTTGATATTGCCAGATTCGATCTTGACCCATGTGTTAAATTTGAAATGTTTATTTCTGGGTGATTCTCTACTGATAGATAGAATGACAATTGACGTGATGTAAAAAAAGAAGACCAGACAATGATTGATGTCGTATTCCTGTGGAAGCAATGGCTCCACAATGGAATCCAACGGGAATCTTCAAAATGACAACTGGAGCTGCTATCAAGGTTTAGGCATTTCACTGTAAAATCCCATCCTAATGATCCGGAGCTCGTGTGCTTAACTAGCTGACTAACTCTTTTACTTCTGGAAGCCACTGGTCGCCACGTTTTCGTATAAAAATTAAGTCATACATTATTTTCATAAAAATTAATGACTCGGTAAACATGAGCATAGAAAATAAGATGTTAGTGACCGTCACTGTGCACTTACAATCAGAACAAAATAAAGGTGAACTAACTGTCAGAACAGCTCAATGTGAACAGATTTTTTACATTCTGATGTGCAGTTATTAACGAGTGGTAATTGGTCCGGTCCGAGTTTCGAAATTTACCTCCGTATATATTAGCTCTATTTGAATTCCTATCCCGTTAGTGTTTTTATTTCTTCTTCCATGATAATCGTGGCCAGGGCTTGTAAGATCATAGAGCATTACCAAATTTAGAAAACGAATAACTAAGCTTTGGAAGAATCTCCTGAGAATTCTGTGTTCGAAGCTGTTTATCA